CCAATGGATGACCATTGATCATGATAGCCAGGCTTAGCTAAGTGCATCCCCCTTTGGGAGCTGTCCTAGGAAACCTTATCAAAGGAACCTTAAATCAGGCTGCACCACAGAGATGAACAGAGAGATGAGGCCTAATTTGGGAAAGCTCCGAAACACTTAATTCTGCCTTATTAATAAGCCTAGCCGCTACAGGTGTCTGTGCAGGTGCGGTGCAGTGCTGTGTCTCTCCTGTCCCCGTGTGTGTAACCCCCCTCAGCGTCTTTAATAAACGTCCTGCCAACCCGTGCCAGAGCCTCCGGACTGTTTCTTTCCATCAGCGAACCCCGTGAGCGTTACATCTAAATACTGTACGTCAGATAAGTGGGATTCTCATCAACTCCTGAAGCAAGACCGTGGACGACAGAGCAAACAAATGGAAAGCAGCCTCCTGGCAGCAAGCACATCGAAGGGCCGGACAGCAGTCTCTCCCTGACTGGAGAGCAAGGTAGGACTGCGATAGCTGAGGGGGTACAGCAGCCTGATGAAGCAGAGAGGCAGAAACTGGGCGGCTCTTCAGATCGTTAACGACCGAGGTTCAGACTGAACACGCAGTGGAGGAGACAGTAACCGAAGCAGGGTAAGAGGAAGATTTGGCTCTGCCACAGCAAAACTGAATCGCCAGGCCTTACCGAGAGGGCAGGAGGGCTCTGAAGACGGGGCTCTCGAATGACAGTAGAAGCCGAGGAATGTAGCTTGCGGTTGGGCATTATTCCAGTCAAACTTCATCAGAAGCCTTTAAAGGCAAAGTGTGCTCCTAGACCTATCACCTGAAGAAGTGAAGGATTATCAGTCTTGGTCGCTTTTGACTCGCGGTTTGGAGGTGCAGAGCCTGCGCTGGTGCTCCAGGAGGAACTCAAACTCCAGGATCACCAGGGGAGAGACAAGGGGTTTTAGCAGGTGAACTCAATCACCTCTTCCGCAGAGCTGAGGCGATCTCCATGACCTCTTCCACAGAGTGTATCCTCATATTCCCAGAGAAGTGCAGGCAATCTCCGTTACCTCTTCCACAGAGTGTATCCTCATATTCCCAGAGAAGTGCAGGCAATCTCCGTTACCTCTTCCACAGAGTGTATCCTCATATTCCCAGAGAAGCGCAGGAAAAGTTAGCGACCCATCGGTTCATTTACAGCCTGACTCCCGACCGCTGGGCCACCCAGTTGTGTCTAGAAGCAGCGCTCCAGAATGCGTGCGAAGTAGAGGGGGTATTTAGTGACACAGCTCTATCACCAGGGGCCAGTCAGCCCTCCTCTCGCCAGTACACTCCCATGAGGCCCAGACATGGAGGCCTCAGCTGCCGCCCCGTCAGAACAAGGAAGTGGCCGGGGGTCCATGCTGACTTGTGCGCACCATGGACTCTCCACCCAGTCTCTCCTGGACCACCAACCCAGCTCTGTGTGCACAACATCCTCACTGCTCCTGAAACCCAGTTGTGTTGTCATCCATCTCTCGGTACAGGGGAGGCTGTGACAGGCCTTGCTGGACAGGGGCTCCACCGCCACCATCGTACACCTGGATCTCCTTCCTGGATCTCCTTCCTGCAGGCGGACAGCTACAGCCCGCAGGCCCCTTCCAGAGACATTTTCATTGTCGATAACGATGTGGGCGTCGTTAAAAGCATTGTGAAAGTCCTCCAAAATGTGTTTCAGTTGTACAGACAGAACATAATTTCTTGCTGTAAAAAAACACCCCCAGGCATACTTTGTTGCTATAAATATGTTCCTAAAAAGGAATAAAAAAACCATTTGATTCAAATACAGTAGCTTGGGCAAAATCTATGGCTACATTGCCCTTGAGCTGTGAAGCTTTTAGATTGTGTTATTAATTAGTACTACAGGTCCTTTATGCAGAACTCTCAACTGTAGGTGCCTTATTGAAAAAATCATTTAAAAAAATGTTAAAAGGTTTCACAACCCAAAGCAAGGCTTGGAAAGGTCAGAGGACCTACTTTGTGTGTAAAACACTTACTTGCAGCATTGAAGAAAGATACAAGATGTGAAGGAGGGGTTAACTAAGTCCTTTCTGCATGAGGACTGCACTTCTAAGATACAGGCAGGAAAGGGGGTAAGTATTCCAGATGCCAGCTAGGAAACCCCCCAGGGAAGGTAATCTAACTGACCATTTGGCCAGAGTCTGTAAACTGTCCAAACACCGTGACTTCTCCCATTACCATAGTAATGAGCTACGTCAGAAGTGGCAGGAAAGGGCTATATAAACTAAAAGTTTGTACCGGCACTTTGAACAATACTTCGGTTTTGCTGTTCCTTGAGGGAACAAGACTTCGGTTTTATTGTTGCTGCGGTGTGTCTGACTGGCAGAGGAGGGAAAGGACAGAGGGAATAAAGAGCTCAGGGAGGGAAAGGCTGGAGCTGGAGCTGGACTCTCTCTCCTGCAGCTTCAGCTCTGACACTGCAGGCTCCTTCACTACAGTAGAGAGCAGAGCTGCTGTGCTGAGGACTGGGACAGGTCTGGACAGCAGGCAGCCTGTTCCTCTGTGCTGGAGGAGTGTGCTGAGGATTTAGGGACGGGAGGAGCTGTTGAAGAGACACTGTAAGTGCTGCTCATACAGGAAATTGTGTTTGGCGGGAGAATTAACTTTCAGTTTCGTTTCTGATTCAGACTTCAGTTTCCAGAGTGCTGTTCTCCCACGTTGAAGCTCCCTTTGACTCTCCCAGTCAGTCCAGTCTGGGGTTTCCTGTACTGCAGTATTCTAGTGTCTGTGCAGGTGTGTCTGTGTACCAGTATCTCCAGGTGAGTTTCTGTTGTTTTTCTGTTCTTGTCTGTAGTTTGTGTGTATCGACTGTGTGAGTAAATTCTGGTATATAATTGTGAGGAAGGGCTGTGTTATTGCTCTGGTCACATGGCCTGTGTGGCCCTGCTTTGTGTAGCGTGGTGGTGTATTTGTTGTAAATGTTTATATATGTGTTTTGTGTTTAATGTGTTATCTGTTGTGGGTCCACAGACTTGTCTGGTCTTATTATGCTGTGTTCGGTTCAGAACTGCAGCCTCACCCTGTTAAATAAGGTTCACCTGGGGGCTCAGAGTATTTACCCTGGTATAGAGGGGAAAAAGTGAGTGATTTGTTGGTTCTGTTGTAATTGTTGGTGTGTTACTGGTTTAGTTACCCTCCTGTATTCCTTTTTTTAACCAGCAAAATCGAACTAGTTCATCGTTATATTTTGATGTCCTGTATTTTTCTATGACCTGACTGGTCATCCTTTCTGGTGGTCAAGTCACAATAATATTTACTGTGCTATCAGGTTTTCATTTTATGTGCTAAAATGTGACTGATTCTTCACCTTTCACACTGTGTTTATTTGTATTTATACTTTTAATACAGTAATTTCAAATGTGTTACTGTGATTTTCCTTGTGTGTATTGGTATTATGACAGAAATCAAAGTTAATAATAATAATTAATAATTGCTTACACTTATATAGCGCTTTTCTGGACACTCCACTCAAAGCACTTTACAGGTAATGGAGACTCCCCTCCACCACCACCAGTGTGCAGCCCCACCTGGATGATGCAATGGCAGCCATAGTGCGCCAGAACGCTCCCCACACACCAGCTATC